GATAGATAGATAGATAGATAGATAGATAGATAGATAGATAGATAGATGATAGATAGATAGATAGATGATAGATAGATGATAGATAGATAGATAGATAGATAGATAGATAGATAGATAGATAGATAGATAGATAGATAGATAGATGATAGATAGATGATTGATAGATAGATAGATAGATAGATAGATAGATAGATAGATGATAGATAGATAGATAGATAGATAGATAGATAGATAGATACACATACACGTACACATACATATACATATATGTACAAAAAACAGATAGAATAGACTAACAGAATTGGAAGGGACCTTGGAGGTCATCTAGTCCAACCCCCTCCTTGAGCAGGGTAGTCTATAAGATTTAATACAAGTGGCTGTCCAGTCTCTTCTTGAAAGCCTCCAGTGATGGAGCATCCACAACTTCTGAAGATAAGCCATTCCACTGGCTAATTGTTTTTAGAAAATTTCTCCTTATTTCCAGGTTGCTTCTTTCTTTGGCTAGTCTCCATCCGTTGCTTCTTGTCCTGCCTTCTGGTGCATTGCAGAATAGCTTGGCCACCTCTTCTTCATGGTAGCCTCCCAAATATTGAAAGACTGCTATCATATCACCCTTAGTCCTTCTTTTCACCAAGATTAGACATAACCAATTCCTGTATCTTTGAGACAACCACAACCTGGATGATTGAGAATGTCCATAGATGTCCATCTATGGCCTTGATGGCAAACCTATGGCACACGTGCCACAGGTGGCACACAGAACCATTTGTGCTGGCACGCAAGCTGCAGGCAAACTTACCTCACTGCGCATGCGCACGCCTAATAGCTGTTTTTTTTTCAGCTGGTTTGAGGCCTTTTTCGGCCTCCCAGAGGCTTGAAAAAACCCTCTGCAGGCTTTGCAGAATGAATAATAGGCCCATTTTGTCACTTCCTGTAATACCGGAAGTGACAAAACGGGCCTATTATTCATCCTGCAAAGCCTGCAGAGGCTTTTTCCAAGCCTCTGGGAGGCTGAAAAAGGCCTCAAACCAGCCGAAAAATCAACTGTGAGGTGCAGTGCAGGTAAGGGGGTGGTGGTGGGGGGAATTGTGTGCAGTGGGCATGGGTGGCATGCACATTGCCTTCTGGGTGCCAACGCGCACACATTTTTTGGCACAGCAGCCTCAAAAGGTTAGCTACCACTGATCTATGGGATCATGTTCATTTTGGATTAAAGCTACTGATTGGGAGAGGCGGCCATCAGGATGGCTGTATTCTCTATGGAGTCAAGCTCACCAAGTTTTCCATCCGTTTTTGCTTTCTAGCCCTAAGTCTGGCCTCCCCTTTGAACAAAATTTATGCCGGGTTGTGGAATTACAACAGCTGCCTCTCCTGCATTGCCATCGGAGGGATGTTCTACGCCCTCACCTGGCAGACATTTGCGTTGGCAATCGCTTGTGGTAAGTAACCAGGCTCTTTTAAGTAGTGGCCCCCACCAACCCTTTGGGCACCAGGGACCGGGTCCATGGATAGACTTTTTCTCTGCAGACCGGAAGGGGACGTAGTAGATGCTTCCCCCCCCACTCCCTTTCTGCTGGCAACTAAAAAGACGAAAGGAGTATTTTTTTAGTTGACACCAGGCATTGGGGACCCCTGCTTTACATCACTAAAATACAGATAGTCCTCAATGTATGACCGATTGCTTACTGATCTGTATGGTCACTAAGTTTTATCAACCCACTACACAGGTAGTCCTCAGGTTATGAATGTCATGGAGCCCGTCCATTCCATTCGTATCCCAAGGATTCGTGGGAGTGAATCTCGTACCTTCAACGGGAACACTCCCTCCTTTCGCCCACGCATTTGCTAATTGAATGCGAGGCTCGTTAATGGCACATGAGGTATTTCAGGATGGGGAAGGCCATGGGGGAGGGGCTACTGATGGAGCGGGCCTCCCTGACCCACTGAAATACCTCGTGCTCCCCAAATTGCTTCCCCCCCCCAACCTGCCGCGACGGGTCACTTGCAAAGATCTAGCAAGCAGTCTTCTCTCCAGCCTCGTGCGCCTCTCCCTAGCTCCGTTCGGCCCTCCATGCGTCTCCCCCGGCCTGTTGCAGGTCTCCCTGGAAGCTCCATTTTGGCCTGCAATGGACCAGAGGAGGTCCATGGAAGGCCGAATGGGGCTTCTGAGCGGCAGATCTGCACCCCAGAAGCTTCGTTTCGGACAGCAATGTCCGGACAAATTTTTCAGAGCCTCTGTGGTTGTTTGTAAGGGTGAACAACTGCTGTGGTGTTGCAAGATTCAGAGTATTGAGCAGGGGTGGGATTCAAATTTCTAACAACTGGTTCTGTGGGCATGGCTTAGGTGATGGGCATGGTTTGATGGTCACGTGACTGGGTGGACATGGCTTGATGGGGTGTAGCCAACTCAATATCACTCACATCGAGGCACGCATCTCCTCGCCTGGCTTCTCATGATTGTGGGGATGCTGCAACAGTTGTAAGTGTGAAAAATGGTCATAAGTCACTTTTTTCAGTGCCATTGTAACTTTGAATGGTCACTCCACACAAGAAAAGTACCAGCAAAGGAGGAAAAAAAACTCCAGAGAAGTTCCAGAAACAGGAAGTCTAGTCCTGCCAAGAATGTAATAAGGGTTAACGGAGAGGCAGTTTCTGTAAGCAACACCAGAATGTTTCCTTCCTGCCTTCCTTACAGGATTAGGCCAGTAATTTTGTCTAACAACCGGTTCTCCGAACTGCTTAGAATGTTAACAACAGGTTCTAGCGAATAGGTACCAACTGGTAGAATCCCACCCCTGGTTTTGAGCCTTGTTTGCAAATACTAGGGCACTGATGGCTAACCTTTTCTACATGGTGTGCCAAAGTGCATACGAGTGATGCAATGCACGCGTGACTCCCCCACACCTGCACATGTGCGCGCAATCTCCCTGCACCACATGTCTCTGTGCACACAACCCCCCACATGCTGCATGCCTCTGCACATACACGCACATCACCCATGTGTGCATCTCCCTTCGTGCGTGTGTGGCAGATACCCGATAATCAGCTGGCTGGTAGGGGCACGCACACATGTGCAGTGGGGCTCTTGCGTGTCAGCAGAAGAGGCTCTGTGTTCCACTTCTAGCATGCAAGCCATAGGTTTGGTGTCACCGGGCTAGGGGATGCTTTTCACATAACATTGGACGTTCGTTAAAGGAACGTTCGTAATATGGGGATTACTTGTACTTAGGACCTGGATTCAAAGTTGTGATGCTTCCCTTCCCCCCTCCCCTTAAAAACATGTCTGAACTTCAGGCATGTAGCATGGTAACCAGGCCACATTTATTGTCATTGGCAGTGTCCCGCGATCACACAACCCGTTTTATAATGGTTTTGCTGCAACAAGTGAATCATGGGTGGGCTTAATAATGACCTCAGCATTCACTTAACGACCGCAGATTTACTTGAGGAGAGCAGTGATTCTCTTAACAACCACCGCAAATAAAGTTCATGAAATCAGGATGGTCCTACGATCCCGTTCTACGATGGTTTAGCTGTGAACCTTTGGTTTTCTTAATGACCGCAGCTTTCGTTTAACAACCATTGATTCACTGAGCTGCCATAGGATTAGCTTAACAACCAACACAAAAAAAGGTCATGAAATCAGGATGGTTACCAATCCCCATTTTAAGATGCTTTGCAGCATCAAAGAAACCATTGGTCTCCTTAATGATTGCAGTTTCCTCCTAATGGTAGCCACGAGTCATTTAACTATCGGCGCAAAAAAGGGTCATCAAATCGCAGGCATCATTAGGATCATAACTCAAGGAATACCTGTAGGATCAAAGTCCCAATGATGCTTTTTTCAAGAGGCAACTGTACTATCTGGTTTTTCTTGGAAGTGCTCTGACCCAGGCTTCATAAACCATAATTCTTCACAAACTTGTTTTTTTTAAAAAAAAAAAAAAAACCTATTTTATTGCAACACTGGGAATTGCTTTCATTCCCAGCTGGAATTAAGCTCAAACAGTCGCCCAAGATAAGCACGCGCCTTTCAGTTCTGTGAAGTGCTGCCAAAAACAGAAGTATCAAATTAATTAGAAAGGAAACCAACCGAAGTACAAAGAGCTTCAAGGATGACTCGGAACCAATTGAACTGCTTTGCTTCCTGCAAAGGTTTTGTCATCTTGGCCTGACTTTTATCCCTTATGGGAGGGGCAATCGACTTACTCCCAAGTCGACCCTTTCGTTTAAGCTGCCCTTGCCTTCTAGCAGCTCTGCATACACGCGCACTGGGAACAGGCTCCCCTTGCTCCTCTGCCTCGCTGCTGCCAGACTCCAGAGTCTCCGGAGGCAGCACCCCACTCCCAGCTGGTCCTGGCCCCATCTCTGCATTGGATGCAGGACCCTCGTCCGAGTCCTCTCCAGACTCCCAGATTGGTTCCTGTTCTTCCCCACTGTCCGCTTCTGCTGCCTTCTGCACTGGTTGCTGGCGAACCACAACAGGAAGACATTTCACTTCTCATCCAAGAAGCTTCTTCAGCTTTGACTAGATGATGGGAAATGGAAGGATTGATACTCCTTGCAGACAGCTGGTCATTTGCATTCTTTTAGCACCACTCAGGTGACTCTGATGACACAGATAAACCTCCAAATGGCCTCTTAAAGAATGCAATGATCTCTTAAAGAATGCAAACAACCAGCTGTCTGCAAGGAATATAAATCCTTTTATGCCCTGTCAGAGCTGAAGAAGCTTCTTGGATGAGAAGTGAAATGTCTTCAAAGAAAGACAAAGGAAGTCCAGTTGCCTCTTGAAAAAAAATGCACTTTTGGGACAACCATGACTTGGATGAACTGAGAATCTCCATAGGCATGTAGGATCAAAGGACTTGGCCGAGTTCACACAACTTGTTTTAAAGCCAGGTGAACAAACACAGTTTCTTTGTTCACCTCCATGTCCTGGTGCAACCAATAGATCATATTCTGGTTCAGTGTGAAGAGGTCATAATAATGGCTAAACCTCAAACTAGTGAACCTGACTTTTAGCCGGGTGTTATATGAACTTTGCCACTGGAGAAAGCAATTATGTTTGGAAGAGTCAGCGGTAAAAGGAAACCGGGCTGCCAAAGAACACGACAACTGGACATCATCAAAGCTGACCCCAGCCATAACAAAGAATATCTCAAAAAAGCAATGCAAGATTGGAAGATGTGGCCCATGGAATTGCCAAGAGTTGGACATGACTGAAGGAATAACTATCTCCTCCTCCTCCCCCTCCTCCTTCTTCTTTTTCTTCACGAACTCTGCCTCGGATTCCCTTTTATGTTCCGTCAACCAAGTTCAACCCATATCCAAGAACCGAAGTGAAGGAGTGTCTATGGAGATTCTCAGACATCCAGGTTATGGTTGTCCCAAAGTGCTTATTGAAGGGGTAACTGGACTTTCTGGTGTTTCTTTGAAGACATTTTGCTTCTCATCCAAGAAGCTTAGTCAGTTCTGATTGGATGGTGTAATTCCCACCAACCAAGTCAGAACTGAAGAAGCTTCTTGGATGAGAAGTGAAACGTCTTCAAAGAAACACCAGAAAGTCCAATTGCCTCTGGAAGAAGCACCTTTGGGACGATGAAGTGAAGGAGAAAAGCTCAGGAAACAGAAGAACTTAATGGCTGTGCTTTAGCAAATTACTATTTTAATTTATTATATTATTTTTACCATATTTATTTATTGTATTTATTTATTGTAACTTAGCATATGGTCCAAACCCAACAGTCTGCTCTATGTTTATGTTTCAATAGTTTGTTGGAATCCCCTCAAAATGGCTGTATCTGGGGGGGGGGCGGGAGGTTGTATCCTGCCTGTGTTATTTTTACAAATAAGTCAAAGCAGCGAACATCTCCAACATACTTTCCTCCTCCTCTTTTCCCTAGAACACCAACCTTGTGAGGTGGGTCAGGCCGAGAGAGAGAGGGACTGGCCCAAAGTAACAGATCGGAGTCCCTTTCACTACCTGACCCTTAACCAGGGGTGGGCTGCTGGGGCTTTGCAGGGGTTTGGGAGACCCCCCCCCCAACTAGGATTCTGCACAGTTCAGAGAACCCCCAAATCCCACTCCTGGCTGGCCCCACCCACCTCTCCCCTCCCCTCCCAGAAGTCCCCACTTCACCCGTTTTGGATGCAGGTAAGTGCAAGGTGCGCACGGAGGCTTGGGGAGGGTGAAAAATGGGCCTCCCGGAAGTTAGAGAAGGCCGGTGTCAGGATTCTAGCAGTTACTCCAATTAAATTATGAGCCTCAAGCCACACTCCCAAAACTAAAGAGGATTTATTTGAAGTTAGCAATCTACATCCAGCACTAACCTGGGTGTAGCCAACTCTGAGATACGTAATTCACTGTCACCCTTGACCCTGCTTTTCCCCCTCATCCCTCTGGGTGTATCACCCAACAAAAAAAAGCCAAGAGTCATCAATCATGCTCTCCAATTAGATTTTTGCATGGCAGAAGCTTCAGACATCTAATCAGTCTTTGAAAAAAATATGAATGGAATATACTTTCGATTCCACACTGCCGCCTGCTCTTTGAAACTCCCCCCCCCCGCCTTCTTTCTGTTGTCAACTATAAAACTGTGTATACAAAATGTTTTATGAGTTGACAGGCGGAAATGAGCCCATTTCTGGCTTCCAGAGAGCCTCCAGAGCCCAGGTGGGCCACTTTCGCCCTCCCGGAGGCTGAAGGGAAGCTTCCAGAGCCCGGGGAGAGCAAAAATCCACCCCCATGGTGTAGAAGGCCGACTAGGCCATGCCCACCTTCGCTGCACCAACTCAACAACCAGACAGAGAACGCTTTGCTAAAATGTTTGAATCCCACCCCTGCCCTTAACCCCTTACTATTTCAGAGTCTCTTACAGCAAATTACAACATTATATGTTTATATTTCTTCTTGCAGCTTTTTTCACCACCTACATGGGAGAAGCGATGGGCCGCATCTTTTCCGTGGTACGTTCACTGATAACCGAAGAAAAAAAGATTGCATTTGTATCTATTTATCATTATCAATTCTTCGCTCACCTTGGGAGGGGAGAATTACAGGTGGCTTAAATGGGGGGGGGGGGGTTCTGTCTTATATTAACTTCACAACACCCCACCTGCAGGGCGTAACCGTTAGGATGCATGGTAACCCACTTAATGACTGCAATGCGTTGCAAGGGAAATTATGGTTGTAAGTTGAGGAGTACCTGTAATACACCATCCCTTCTTCCCACAAAATTCAATTCAGTTCATACTCTAGAAAGAGTGCAGAGAAGAGGAACAAAGATGATTAGGGAAACTGGAGGCTAAAACATATAAAGAACAGTTGCTGGAATTGGGTATGTCTAGCTCAATGAAAAGAAGGACTAGGGGTTGACATGATAGCAGGCTTCCAATATTTGAAGTAGTTGCCACAAAGAAGAAGGAGTCAAACTATTCTCCAAAGCACCTGAGGGTAGGACAAGAAGCAATAGGTGGAAACTAATCAAGGAGAGAAGCAACCTAGAACTAAGGAGAAATTTCCTGACAATGAGAATAATTAACCAGTGGAACAACTTGCCTCCAGAAGTTGTGAATGCTCCAATACTGGAAGTTTTTAAGAAGAGATTGGATAACCATTTGTCTGAAATAGTATAGTCTTTCCTGCCTCGGCAGGGGGTTAGATTAGAAGACCTCCAAGGTCCCTTCCATCTCTGTGATAAATGTTTTGAGTGAGTCCCAAAGCAAGACAGTAGATCCACAATTCCCCATAGATGTCAATGTTCTATATCAGGGTTGGGGAACTATGGACGTTTTATGACCTCTGGACTTCAATTCCCGGAATTCCTGAGCATGGCTGGCTCAGGAATTCTGGGAGTTGAAGTCCCCAGGTCATAAAAGGGCATATGGTTTCCCAGCCCTGATCTAGACGTTCGCTAACTACAGCTGCTATTACTCAGGCCTCCTGGATGTGTTGTGAGGGATTCGTTGGGTTTTGTGATGACCCAGGGTGGGATACAAAATAAACACAGTCACAAAAAACAGGTGAAGCCCCTTTCATTCCTTCAGTTTGCTTCCAAGCTCCAAATAGCCTTGACTGGAGATAAAAAAAACTCCCACACAAGCAGTTCCAAGAAGGAGGAAATGCCGTTTAAATTATAAAGAGTAAAAAACAATACAAACCAGGCAAGATAAGGGCTTGAAGACGTCCACAGATATCAGAACACCCACTGGGAAGGACGCCAAACTCAGAGAGGAACCATAAACTAGAGATATTTCCACGCTTTGTTTCCAGCACTCGCCAGTACACATGTCCATCCTCTTATTCAGTTGTCACAGCTGCAGCCCATGAAGAGGATCAAGGCCCTCTCCTCCCCAGTAGACCATGTCTCTCCCTTATCCTCTCCTCCCTGTGTGCCCTAGGATGGAGAGGGGATGTTCCTGGGTCCTCCTCTGACTGCCCAGCCAGCCTCTACCCTTCCCCAGCCTCCTCCACAACCTCCGGAGCCACACTTCCACTCCCTGTTGGCTGTTCCTCCTCTCCCTCAGAGTCAGTCTCCACCAGGGGCATGACAGGTTTAGAGAGCTTCATGCTGGAGGTAGATGACCATTTATGAACTCTGCTTGAAGATGTTTAAAGGGGCTGTAGTACCCCACGTCTGTTCTAAATCATGGTCCATTTGATACTATTGTCAATGGGGTAGATATCTTCCATTGTTGCTTTTGTTTAATTCCAAAAAGTATGTAGCGCTTTCTACTTTTCTACCTTGACTACACCTTCTTGATTTTGTGTAAACTCCCCAAAGACATGGCTGACGGATTGTTGATGTTTTTATGTTCCAGTTTGGACTGCCAATAGGGACCTGGCCCTTTTGCTTATCTTCGCTCACCTTCCTGCTCTTAACCACCACCAATGATGCCATCTTCAAGCTGCCTCTCTCCAAAGTCACCTATCCAGAAGCCAACCGGGCCTACTATGTGGAGAGAAAGAAGCTGTGCTCTGAATCCATTTGCGAGAAAGTGTAAGCAAATCGAAGTGTCAGTCTTGCAACTAGAGAGTCGTCCCAAGGAAGAACGGAAGAAAAACTTAGTTGTCAGTGGACAGTTTGTTCTTCTCGGTTGTAGATGCCTTCTCTTGGATCAGAAGTTCAACTCTCAAGATGTTCTTCAGTTAGAAGTGAATGTATTCATCTGGAAAGGAACATAATATATGTGGGACAATTCAGTTTAGACCAGAGGTGTCCAAAGTTGGCCACTTTAAGACTTGTGGTCTTCAACTCCCAGAGTTCCTCAGGCTTGTTTTTAAAAAGCCATAAAATCAGACATGACTCGCTTAAGAACTGCCTTGCTTAGTGATGGAAATTCCAGTACCAATTATCTTCGTAAAGTCAAGGACTACTTGTAAAGCAGAGAAATTATTATTGTTATTATTATTTACAAACTTAGCTGTTATCTGCAAGTTATGATTACTTTAATGAATGGATGAATACTTTATTTGGCCAAGTGTGATCGGACACACATTATTAAGAGCCTCGGTGGCACAGTAGTTAGAATGCAGTACTGCAGGCTACTTCTGCTGTCTGCCGGCTGCCTGTAATTTGGCAGATCGAATCTCACCAGGCCCAAGGTTGACTCTGCCTTTCGTCCTTCCAAGATCGGTAAAACAGGGACCCAAATCGTTGGGGGCAAGAGGCTGACCCTGTAAACCGCTTAGAGAGGGCTGTAAACCTCTGTGAAGTGGTATATAAGTCTAAGTGCTCTTGCTATTCTCTTTATACAAATATTCAGGAAACTAATTGTTATAAGACACGTTTACAACATCCTCTAATTCCTAGCATCACAGAGACCAGTGAGAGGTGAGTGCTAGAGCAAAATTTATACAAAGAAGGCTTTGCATATACATATCAATGCATTACCAATTTATTAACCAAAATGTATATCTGCACATTGAAGACATAATTAATCTAGACATGATTATGTGTCAGTTCCTTTTCTAAGCAACATGAGAAATGCTTTGGAAGATGAGTGACCGCACAGGCAGTTCTCCCAGCTTCTATAAACTGTCCCAAAAGGACAAATCAGATGAGAAGCAGTAGTGGCATTCTACTGGTTTGGCCTGGTTCAGGCGAACCAGTAGTAAAAACTGTTACTGTTCGGCTGAACCGGTAGTAAAAAAACAGCTACCAGTTCTACTGAACCGGTATTTCTTTTCTTTTTTTCCTCCCGATGATCAGTTGCTCTGACAATCAACTGTGCCAGGAATCACTGCCTTACTGCTTCGCCAAGGCTTCCCCGAGGCCCAGGAGGCAAAAAAATGGAGTGTTGGGTGACTGCTGCAAAAAAGAAGCCGCCATGCCCATCCAGTCACCTGGCCACACCCACCTAGCCACACCCACCTAGCCACGCCCACAGAACCAGCAGTAAAAATATTTGCATCCCACCCCTGATGAGAAGGTGACAAAGACAAGGTGGAACGATCAAATTTGGACATTCTCATTATAATATCTACAATAGAAAAGAATATTTGCAGCTTAAGGTTGAATTGTGGGGTCCTTGGTGGTTTTCTTGCAGACATTTCAATACCCAACTAGGTAATATCATCAATGCTAGAAGGGAGTGGGGTTTGCTCTATTTTTAAAGGCTAGTGGTTTACTCTGTCAGTGTACCCCAAGCAAGGAACTATCAACTCAGACAATCAAACCATAAACAAGGAACCCGTAGAAATATTTCCATCAATATTGGCAGGGCAAACCACCTATACATAAAGAGAGAACAAACCCCAGTCCCTACTAGCACTGATGATGTTACCTAGTTGGGTCATGAAACATTTGTAAGGAAAATAACCAAGCTCAGAGAGCACCGAGGACCCCACAAATCTCTGCAAGTTGTAATTCTTGGCAGATCCCTCCAAAACTGACCCCTGATGCTAGCCCTGATACCTTGTCTCCAAACCATGATTTATAAATGAGCTTGAATCATAGTTTGAAGAGCAGGATTCATTTTGGGCATCTTAGCAATGTAGAGGTTGGGGAGAAGCATATTGAAAACGAAGAAGGGAAACCCAAGAGAAGGAACCTTTGGAGGTTCAACTTCATGATCTCATGATCTCATGGAGGTTCAACTTCATGATCTCATGATCTCATGGGAGTCATTCTACAAGCAGCCAGAAAAGTTCATATAAGTCCAGTAAATAAACTCACCCAACATGTAAATATATTGTAAATAAACTCAATCAGCATTATATATTGTCCTTTACTGTGTTATTACAAGTGTAATGAATCTGTTTTAGGTTTTTATATTTTTCTGAATGTCAAATAATAAACTATACCAAAATGCATGAACTAAACAAGTTTCCTTTCTTCTTTTAAGGACTGTTTGTCCTTCATCCTTCTAGACCAAGGATGTCAAACTTGCAGCTCGTGGGATGGATGTGTCACATGATGGCCACGCCCACCCCCATTTAGTCACAATACATCACGTGATGATGTGATGACATGAGTTTGACACCCCTGTTCTAGACCATTTTATAACCAAACACCACCAAGTCTCCCTTAATTGTTTCAGGCTCTGAATGGTATTAAACAGCTTTTTCTTCCTCAATAATGGCATCTATTGGATGGAAGCATCTAACAAAATGAATTTCAATGTAGAGAAAAGTCAAGTCTTACACTTAGGCAAGAAAAACCCAAAGTACACATATAGACTGGGTGAAACCAGGCTCAATCGCAGTAACTGGAAGAGAGTTCTTGGAGTCTTAATGGACAACCAGCTAAATAGAAGCCAGCAGTGTGCAGCAGCAGCTAAAAAAGCCAATACAATCCTAAATTGCATTAACAGAGGGATACAATCGAGATCAAGGGAGGAACTAATCCCACTCTATAAAGCCTTAGTAAGACCACAGCTAGAGTACTGCACCCAGTTTTGTTCACCACACTATAAATAAGATGTTCAGAGACTCTAGAAAAAGTGCAGAGAAGAGCAACCAGGATGATTAGGGGACTGGAGGCTAAAAGATACAATGAACAGCTACAGGAACTGGGCATGGCTAGTCTAGTGAAGAGAAGGACCAGGGGAGACAGGATAGTAGTCTTCCAATATTTGCGTGGCTGCCACAAATCTCAACAAATAAATGCTCTGTCCTACATATTGGCAAAAAATAATCAGAAAATAAAATACAGGCTGAATAGTCAAGACCTTGTTGATGATCCAAACTCTGTCAACCACTGTAACTACATAGCCAAAAAGGCATTAAGAGTTGTTAACCTAATATTACGTAGCTTTTTCTTTGGTAATATTACACTAATAACTAGAGCATACAAAACATTTGCTAGACCAATACTCGAATACAGCTCATCAGTCTGGAACCCACATTATGTATCTGATATTAACACAGTTGAGAAAGTCCAGAAATATTTCACAAGAAGAGTTCTCCACTCCTCTACTTGTTGCAGAATACCTTATGCCACCAGACTTGAAATTCTAGACCTAGAAAATCTAGAACTACGCCGCCTTCGGTTTGATCTAAGTATAGTATATAAAATCATACATTGCAATGTCCTATCTTTCAATGAATACCTCAGCTTCAACCATAACAACACAAGAGCACACAATAGATACAAACTTAAGGTAAACTGCACCAAACTTGATTGCAGGAAATACGACTTCAGCAATAGAGTGGTCAATGTCTGGAATACTCTACCTGACTCTGTGGTTTTTTCCCCAAACCCCAAAAACTTTAACCTTAGACTGTCTACTATTGACCTCACCCCTTTCCTAAGAGGTCTGTAGGGGGCACGTATAAGCGCACCAACGTGCCTACCGTCCCTGTCCTATTGTTTCTTTTATATATTTTATTATTTTTCTTATATGTATCCATGTATTCATAACTATGTTTTACCTATACCTATTATCTTGTAAACAACTGACAAATAAAAATAAATAAATAAATAAAATAAATAGGAAGGGGTCAAGCTATTTTCTAAGGCACCTGAAGGCCAAACAAGGAATAATGGATGGAAACTGACCAAGGAGAGATTCAACCTGGAAATAAGGAGAAACTTTCTGACAGTGGGAACAATCAACCCATGGAACAGAAGTTGCCCTCAGAAGTTGTGGGAGCGTCATCACTTGAGACTTTCAAGAAGAGATTAGACTGCCATTTGTCAGAAATGGTGTAAGGTTTCCTGCTTGGGCAGGGGGCTTGGACTAGATGACCTACAAGGTCCCTTCCAACTCTGATTATCTGTTATCTGAAGCCAAGCCAAAATGGTTACAAGTGCATGAAAGAAAGATCAATTCACCTCTAACGCATACAGTAATCCTTGTAGGAAAAGGAGTGGTAGAATCTGGGGGTGGAGTGAAAAGAGGAATCAGCCTAGAATCCTTACATAGCACAAGTGAACTAAGTCCAGCCCCCTTTGAGTGCCATTAGCCCTTATCTAACTCTAAACAGGTGTCTACCATTAATAGTTCCTATGCTTAGGCATGAGTAGCAATCAATCAGTTCAATTAGATCTTTATGTGTAGACCTGATCTTTCACACCTGAGAGTCCTTAACTTACAATTATTTGTTTAGTGACCGTTGAAATTTACAGTGGAGCTGGAGAAAGTCACATGATCAAAATTCAGGCACTTAGCAGCGGACATATATTTACAACGGTTGCAGTGTCATGTGGTCGCTATTTGTGAACTTCCCAGCCAGCTTCCAATAAGCAAAGTCAGGGGTGGAAGTTGCATTGGCTTAACAACCACACAAATTCACTTAACAACCTGCCTGCCACCTCCTGTGTGCATGCGCGCACGCCGGGATTGGGTGGGCCTGGCTGAAGCAACACGGGCCGGCCCCTCACCGTTGCCAAGATGGCCGCATGGGCCAGATCCAACCACATCATGGACCTTGAGTTTGATACCCCTGTTCCAGACAAATAGCTGTCCAATCACTTCCTAAAAAAATCTCCAGTTTTTAACCATTTCTGGAGGCAAACTTGATTGATCTTATAGTCAGGAAATTTCTCCTTAGTTCTAGGTTGCTTCTCTATCTATCTATCTATCTATCTATCTATCTATCTATCTATCTATCT